ACTGTGATATTTTCCTAATAATTCAGACATCCTGCCTCTATTGGTAATCTTCCAATCACAACAACAAATTTTCAAATCTTTGCTACGTGGAGGCTAAGTCTAAGGAGCTATTAAATTTGGGAAACAAGAACTGAACATCTTATAAGTATTGGGTATGTAGATGATGATATCAAAGTTTGCATTTTGTCGTGAAGGAGTTCACTTTTGCTTTTCCTATGATTTTGAGAAAGAGCCCTTGGAAGCTATTTTCATGAATTGAACTTATTAATATCTCATATTAGACCACAAATATTTTCTGAAAATGGAAAAGAAATTGTTTTCACGAACTTAAGGATGTTCTCTACAGCCAAGTAACAAGTGTACCCATGATCAGATTTTGAAGTCTGGAGACTGGTGGGTGACAGCTTCTCTTGGTGATACAGCTGTACAAAATAATTGGCTAACATCAGCCCTGATTTCTGGAAACCAGCCAGAAGGGACAAGGTACCCCAGAAGACAATGCCTTTGAGACTAGCCAGTAGACTGTTCCACTCAAATAACCATGCTTCTACCAATGGCCTCAACCCAATCTAAAATCTAAAGGACCATGAGTCTCCCATTGGCAGTCTCATATTAAAATATTGAGAGGTTAAACCAATGTGTTGATTTATCAGCCTGTCATGGAACTTGGTATGAGGAACACAATGGAAAACAGGACACAGTCCCAGTCTCAGAAGAAACATTATACCAAGAAATACATGGCTGGAATATTGTATGACATCACCATGTGAGAAGAACACACCAAGGGCTACAGAGCAGAAAGAATTAAACTTGACCTGGGTGAGGAAAGCTAAGAAAGTGCCCAAGGATGGTGTTTAGGTTTGAATTTCCATAGTTATATTTCTTCCAGACAAAGATAAGAGGGCAGGAACTCTATGTAGAGAAGCAGTGTATTAGTTAATTTTCTGTTGTTGTAATAAAGCACCATGACCAAAAGCACCTTAAACAACAAAAGACTTTGTCCTGACTTCTAAGTCTAGAGTGATAAGAGTCCATCATGGCAGGGAGGTAGGGCAGCAAGCACCAGGAGCAGAAACCTAGGGGATCACCTCTCAGCTCCATAGAAGAAGCACCAAGAAAGCAAACTGGAAGTGGGGTGAGGCTATAAACCCCTGTGGTGGTTGGTTGGAATAGGAATGGCCCCCATATACTCATGTGTTTGAATGCTTGTCCCATAGGGAATGGTACTATTAGGAGGTATGGCTTTGTTGGAGGACGTATGTCATTGATGGGGGCAGACTTTGGGGTCTTATGTGCTAAAGCTATGCCCAATGTGGCACACAGTCTCCTGCTGCTCGTGGATCAAGATGTAGGACTCTCAGCTCTTTCTGCAGCACCATGTCTGCCTGCATGCTGCCATGTTCCACCATGATGATAATGGACTAAACCTCTGAAACTGTAAGCCAGTCCCAATTAAATGTTTTCCTTTATAAGAGTTGCCATGGTCATGATGTCTCTTCACAGTAATAGAAACACTAACTAAGATAACTCCCAAAGCCTACTCCTAGTGACATACATCTTCCAACAAGGCTGCACCTCCATAATCTTCCCAAAAAATGCCACATTCTGGGGACCAGGTTTCAAACAGCCAGAGCAAAAGCATAGGGACATGATACAGCATGCCAGCTCCAGAGATGTGGAGGAGTGTGGTGGACTTAAGCATTCTCCAGGAGGGAGAGTCAGAGATGGTACAGGTCTACAGAGCCACCCAGGCCATGTCTGTAATACGGGTTCAAACTCATGAACCTCAGCTTTCTTACTGGTAATACAAAATTAATAGCATCACCTGACTCTCAGGAGTGCTGTGGTGACTAAAGAAAAGGAGACATGAATGCAAACATCCTGCACACACTGTGTAACCAAGCAAGAACATGTGTGCATTTTGCTGCATTTTATCCTGAGGACTTTGAGATAGGTACAGGGAAATGAATGGATTGCATTTGTTTTTTACAAAATTCTTGGACATTCTAGGGAATCAGTGAAAAGCATAGTTTCCTTTAAAAAGGTAAGAGAATAGTAATATGGTGAACATCAGTACCTCAAAAACCCCAAATCTGAAATGCACCAAATCTGAGAAGTTTTGCCACAAACGGAAAGTTCTGCATCCCAAAATTTAGCTTCATATACAAAAAACTTTAATTATTATTATTATCTATTATGATAATTGTGTTTTTGTGTTTGTGGGTATCTTATCGGCATGTATGTATGTGTACCACTTGTGTGCCTGATGTCTGTTGAGTCCAGAAGATGGCATCAGATTCTCTGGACCTGGAGTTGTAGACAGTTGTGAGCTACTATTTGGATGCTGGGAATCATACCTGAGTCCAGGGCTTAACCGCTGAGCCATTTTTCCAGCCCCCAAAATTTTTAAAATATTATATAAAGCTAACTTCTTTATATATATATATATATATATATATATATATATATATATATATATATATATATATATATATATATGGTATGTATAAAATAATATATAAATTTTTTGTTTAGATTTAGATTCCATGCACAAGATATCTTATAATGTATATTTGAATATTTCAAAATATGAAATAATTAGAATTCCAAAGCATTTCTGGTCCGAGCACTGCAGACAAGGCACACTTAGCCTGTAGTAATAAAACCAGCTGCAACTTGGCACCCTACTGAGTACCAGCTCTTCAGCATCTGTCACCATGGGTTGATTAATCACATTAACCACAGCAACCTCGTGGGTTGAGTACTTACCAACCCTATTGCTACTGAGTACCAGCTCTTCAGCATCTGCCACCATGAGTTGATTCATCACATTAACCACAGCAACCTCGTGGGTTGAGTACTTACCAACCCTACTGAAGAGTCTAAATCCTTATGAGGAAAAAGGCATGGTGCGAAGAGGCAGGAGTTTCTAGGTTATGTAGAAATAATCAGTCTGTGGCAAAAGCCAAATCAACCCCAGTTAGAACTCAAAATCAGAGTGGTCTGTGTTTGTGTGCATCAGAGCCAAGAGTGCTCATAAACTCCTCTCCCTCTCCCTGTCCATTTCCCTCTCCATCTCTCCCCACCCTCTGTAAGTTTGTGCTGCGTCTGGTCAAGAGCCAGACTGGACATCTAGGCTCAAGGAGGTGCTACTCTAACTGGTCTGGAAGAAATGAAAATATTCTAAAGAGACACTTGAACTACCAGACTTGAAACAATAGTCCCCCAAAGTTGGAATTACCCAAGAATTTCATGCTGGGAGAGGAAAAGGCTGAAGTTTGGTGGCAGCCAGAAAAAGAACTGTCTCTCGGAAAGAAATTTTACCGTTTTGTCAACCTGTCAGACGGCCTTGCTGGAGGAGACTGTAGCCGAGACAATGAGGGCTGTTTATTTACGCACGCCTCTGTCCCTCTGTGTGAACCCACAGCTCACGTCGGGACTCCAAGGACAGCTCACGTCGGGACTCCAAGGACAGAATTGGCAGTAGTGACTGGATGCTTCTGTCCTTCTTTCCAGTGTAGCCACACCAAATAAGCCTTTTTCTGCTTTTTACTATTAATCTGTCTCTTTAGTTGACGGTCAAGGATGGTGGCAGAGCCGTGGCTTGTTAGAGTTTCCAGGACATAGGCTCTGACCCAAGTTAGTCACCACTTCATTTCTGTTCTGTTCTAGTCAGCACATTCACTAGTTTGGCTCCAGTCCAGCCAAATAGTCTGAACACTTAGCTCTGCTGGCTGATAGAAAATTCTGAAGCACAGGATTTAATGTTTATTGGTAAGGCTCAAGAGAAGAAAGAATGCAGGGAAAGGCAGGAGGGGATGTATACATTACATTATCCCATGTTTTACATCCATCACCTCCTTTAGGGGAGGAGTGAACTGTGCAGCCATCCTTGACCATAGATGAAAGAGTCGCAGAGAGAGTGTGACTCACCAAATGACGGTAACAAGCACACAGCTTCCCCTGGAGGAGATGATGTTTCCTTACATAAGCTCATCTTTAGAATCCAGAGATGGTCTGCCTCCATCACACAGCGGTACCCTGACTCATCACCGTCAGCTCAAAAGAGCAGAGGAAGAGTGACGTGATGCAGAAAAACAAAAAGCGACTGTGCACGGGAAGGGCAGCTCCCCGGAACCCGACAGTGACAGGTCTGCTTCCTATTCTTGGGTTTGCAACCCGGGGCTTTTCTCCCTGCTGCCCTGGGCCTCAGATTGCCTGTTTATTAAACTGGACATCCATATTTGACAAATAAGAAACTCAAGAAAGAGTGAGGAGAGTTGGAGATGTAAGGGAGGGGTTGGCTGCCCTTATCCAACAAGAAGGCAAGGCTGGCAGACCAAGAGGAAGCCGACTCCCACCCTCTCTGCACATCTTTCTGTCCTCTACCTACTCCCTCCCCACTCTCAGAGCATCACTCTGGGAGGCTCCTCACAGACATTCCCAGTGGGGAGCAGGGCTGCCCATAAGCTCCAAAATTTTAAAGGCTCAATGATGCTAGCAAAGTCCCAGAGGGAAACCTCCTGGTAGTCTGCCAATCACTTCTGAGGAAAGGTGACATTCTGGGATCTGTGCAGGCACTCAGTATTGGTGCAACAGACAATAAAAATGATGGACCATTGAACCTCTCACTCCTCTGAAAAATCACTCATTCTGCCTCCAGGGCACCTGAGAGACATCTTTGAAAGTGCACAGACAGGTCTAGAGTCCATCATTAAGTCACGTGTGAACACAAATGAACTGCTTCACTTCCTCACCCTCTGTTTCCTTATCTATAAAATGGTTCCAAAGGTTTTATCAAGACAAGAAAAGAATGGGATTGGCCCAGCCTGAAAACCATCAGATGAACAGTTGGATTGTATTTGTGGATCAGGGTAACTCTGGAGCCTGTCTACATGCAGCTTTCCAGCTCAGGAGTTCTGACATGTGCCCAAAATAGTACGCATGATGGTCAGAGGGAGACTAATCACCCTTACCAAATGCTTTGGAAGATTCCTCACCTGTCCTCAAATGCTGTAAGGATCACTGCTGTTGGTGTGGTCTGGAACCTCTGCCTTCTTTGTATTGGTAGCCTTCTTATAAACACTGTAAAATGAAATATACAGAAGGCTGTGAGCTCAGAATGAGGCCCTGAACTAGGCCCAACTGGCCAAATCAGAGTTGATTTTTCCATGCTGAAGTCATGTACCACCAAGCCAAAACCAAACTCTTTATCTGACCTTCCAAGATACTAAGAGGATACAATTGCTCTCGAATTTCCTCCTGAGAACACTTTTAAATTCTTTATGGGCCAGACTAAGAACCTGCAAAATGAATGTTGTGGTCCCTATGACCATGGGTCTCGTCATCAGTATTGGATAAATCTCTATGGAAGAAGACAGATGGCTGTGACCCTCATCTGTCCCTTCGCTTCTGTGATAACAGAAGCAGCTACTGTGGTTGTAGGTTCAGCAAACACATCTGATAAATATTCTTTCTAGAAATTCATTTAAAGATGTTTTCATTTAATGCCAATGAGAAGAGGAGGCAGAAACTGACTAGGCAGCTAAGGGGAAAAGGAGACCAGTTTCCTCCGTGGCTAAAAGCCTGAAATGTCCTTGTGCCAGACAGCAGCCTATCCTTGCCAGAGGCCAGAAATGCCAGACCTGTTTAAGCCAAAACATCTCTGGTTCCTCTGTGGCCAGAGGCCAGAACTACCAGAAAGGGAAGGGACAGGAATCTGATTTTCCCTTCTCTCTTCTCCCTAAAAGAGCACCCCTTCCTGGAAACCATACTGAGGACATGACTAAAAATGCTGGCACCTTGACACATGGGAACTTCATTGAACAGCTTGCCCTTCAACCAGTGAAGCCCTATAAACCTCCAGGCAGTGACAGTCTGGCAGCCCAGGGACCCCTCACCTCTATGGGAACTTGCTCTATTTTCTTTCTCTTAAGCTCACTATGGTAAAACTCACCCTCTGTGGTCCATGATTTCATCCTTTGAGTTCTCAAAACAAGAACCTGGAAACCGCTGGGCTCAGAGTGGCTTTGGTGACCATTGAGCTGCTCAGACAAAACACCCCAGAGCTCAGCTCACTCAATAGCCCAGAAGGATTCTGCTGCCTTCAAACACACCTGGAGGGGGCTGGACTGACGGCTAAGGGTTAAGAGCGCTGACTGTTCTTGCAGAGGACCAGGGTTTGGTTCCCAGCACCCACATGGCAGCTTGCAACTGTCTGTAACTCCAGTTCCAGAGGATCTGATGCCCTCTTCTGGCCTCCTCAAGCACTAGGCACACATGGTGCCCACATGCACATGCAAAACACTGTCACACACAAAGTGAATAAATATACCTTTTTACAAAAAGACACCCAGGGTCATTCCTTGCAGAGCACAGTTGAAATTAAACCCACAGCAAGAACTGAAAGGGGAAATCTCAAATGAGGGGGTGACATGTGTCTCCGCCTTCTGGGTATTTGTTTTCCAGAACAAGAGTCCATCAGGAGCATCAGGAGGGAGTGAAGGAAACTGCTTCTCAGCACAGTGTGGAGCTGAAGAGGGTCCAAGGATCCTGACAGTAACCCAAACGCTTGGCAGATCCCCACGGAGCAATGCCAGCCTGGATGGATCCTTGACCCAGGAAAGACTCGGGCTGGTTCTCACTTACCAGATGGATGAAGGTTCTAAATCACACTGAATCTGGAGTAAGGAAAGTGAGGAAACAGAAGCATGTCTTCTTAATCCTTGCTTTGTGGAGTAGGAGGAGGGAGAAGGGGTGGATGGGAGGGTGGAGGAGGTGGTGAGGTAGGCGGTGGGAAAGTGTTCTTTGCCATTTCAGTAAAAGCTCCCAAAGAAGATTTAAAAAAAATACAGCATTATGAGGTGAGAGGTGGGGAGAACTGAATGTCAGTGTGATGGGGATGAAGGACCAGTCAGTTGAATCAAGACATTGTGTCTCTAGGACTCTGGGCTACTATCCTGCTGACTGGAATACTGCTAGGTACAGGAACATTTCCTTAAGGAAAAACAAAATTAAAGGGTTAACCATTCAGGCACCTCAGTTGAGGGAGCCACTCTCCTACTGTGGGGGTCTCTGTCTCAGCCACAGGACCTCTCAAGAAGTCTCAAGTTGTTTTTCTATCCTCCACCAATTTCTCTACACACAGTCTCTCCTCAGCCATCAACGCACCAAATCCAAAAGCTCCCTTATGATCATTCCCAAGCAGACATGACCTTGAGTGCTCAGCATTTGCTCTGGGCTGAGGGGACAAGGTGTCCCCAGAAGGAGAATCTGAGTCTCTATGTTAAGCTAATACGGTGTGTCTCCTGGGTCAGCCATGGCCAGAGAGGGACAGAGCCATGCACTATTAAACAGGGTACCAAGTGTCAGTTTACAAAAGAGAGGCTTTGAGCTGAGCGAACACTATCCCAAGATCCCACTTGCCCTTTTCCCATGGTAAGCATCCTGTGACTTGCAAGCCTCAGCCAGCAGTTTTGTGAACCAGCTACCACTTCCTGTAAGGTAACCAGTTCCTCCCTCTGAGAACCCACGACAGACTTCTACCATCACCTCACACTTCATAGCAACCTTTATACCTACTTCAGGCTCTTGTTCCTCTAGACAGGACTTCTGTTCCTTTTATCTACCCTAGGACAAATTAATACTGTTGCCACCCAGGCTTACAGTTGCAGAATACATTTTAACTCTTGTTAGAGACCCTGTGAGACACACCCATCATTACTCTGCAGGTGGATTATCATTCTCCATGACATGTCCCAGAAGAGATGCAATAAGGATTCCAACCTAGGGTTTAGGATCCAGACCTCCTAACAAAACCATCAAGAGCAATCTTATTTTCTGGAGTAGATGCTGTCACACCCGATCTGTGTTTGAATCTCTGGGAGAATTATTTAAATAACACTCTGCCTTTTAAAGGGCTGTGGGAGAGATAATTAGCACTTACCCATTGTCTGAAAATGGCAGGTTATAAAATCTAGCAATCTAACTCAGCTTTCATTTTTAGATCTTTTATAGAACATGAAATTCTACTCTGCAATCATAGTAGAAAAGGCTTTTTTGTGCATTTATAGATTTATTTGAGCCTCAATTTTGAAATCTAAAAAGTCCCACATTTTTTGTGATATGGGCTTTTTTTTTAAGCCCAAGGACAACTTTATTGGAGTTTGAGAAGAGAAAAGCGACAGGGACAGCAAGCTAGAGCTCTAGCAGCGGCATGAGGAGAGCGGGAGAAAGGCTAAGGCCCGGGGAGGCGAGGGTTTCTTAGCCAGAGATCAAGAAAGGAGTGGACATTGTTTCTTCAAAGTCTAGTGTCTCATGCAAAACCACATCGGAGTCCCTGTCAATCAGTTTGCTTTAAGCTGGGTTGACTGCTGACTCCGTAAGTGTCTGTTTGACTCAACTCTGACCAAAATGATCCTTTGTCCCCTGGCTAGGGTGACTGGTTTGAGAGAAGGCAGGTAGTCAAGTCAAAATGACAAAAATCTAGCTGGTGGTTTTCTTAGAAACTTCAGGAAAGAATTATTCTCTGTTAAGCCTAGAACCACTGAGGGCCAATTTGCCCAATTCAGCACAGCTTTTCCAAGGTGTCATTAGAACACAGGCCCAAGATCTGAAGATGACAGTGATGATGTCAAGACTAAAACCATGTCAGCCCTGAACTTATCAACTGGCAGTTACAAGAACAAGACTTCTTTGGTTGAAATCTGCTGTCGTGTGCAAGCAAAGCGTATCCTGTATAAACATATTAACAATAGCAATAAAAACAACTGCTTTTTTAATCACCCCTTTTCCTGCTCCTATAATCAGCCTATGGACCCCTCAAGATTCATTTTATGAAGCTTTACTTGACTATTCTTAGGCAACAGTGTGTTTTCAAATATGTTATATATTTCAGGCTCTCATGTATGCCTTCAATTTCTCCTCCAGACTGGGAGCCCCTTAAAGTCAGTCAGGGGTCCACCTGTGCCAGCCCTCTCTGTGACCCACTTGTCAGGAGTTCACATGAAGCAACCACTCAACAAACATTAGTTATGTTGGTAAGTAAGGCAGAAAAATTCTCCCATCTTACTTTTCATGAGCCATGTTATATTTGTCTTAATAATCATAATTCTTTCTCAAGGAGAAAGATTGGAGCTAAATATCTTTCTCTTGGTATCTGGAGTAAGTGAGTTTTAGTGCTGGTGAACTTTGACAGGAATAATTTGCATGTCAAAAGCATATTTCAAATAGCCAAACAGTTTTAACTGAAGTAATTAAAATTAAATTGTAGGTCATATTCCTTCTGTTACATTTTGCATAACATTAAAAAAGCAGGCAATAACAGTTTAACCAGATTTGAAGTTCTTCTGTTTAATTACTGTCTGTGTTCATTCCTCCTGTGGTGTTCTGAATGACAATGGTTGCCATAGACTCGTATGTCTGAATACTTAGTTCCCAGGTAGTGGAACTGTTTGGGAAGAGTTAGGAAGCAGGAGGCGTGGCCTTGTTGGAGGAAATGTGTCACTGAAAGTTTTCTTCTTTCAGCCAGCTGCCTGTGGATCAGGATATAAAGCTCTCGGCTACTTCTCCATGACCTTGCCTGTCTGCTACCCACCATGATGATCATGGAGTAACCCTCTGAAAATGTAAGCAAGCCCCAATTAAAAGTGTTGTTCAAATCCTAAGTGGTCTTATTTTAAAAAACCTGGAGCCAGATATTGGGGTAAATGCTGAAAGATCAGAGAGACAAAGGGAAAAGCCACTAGAGAAACTTCTCACCAGTACCAAATCCTCAGGCCAAATTGAAGGAAAGATCCTATCTCCAGGAATCCTCTGTCTGAAAGCCTTTTAGTCCTTAGCTGAAAGGGCTTGAGTCCTCAGCTGAAAAGCTCTAGTTCCTATCTCCTCATGCCTTATATACCTTTCTCTGCGCAACCATTTCACTGCCTTCTTATTGTTGGGATTAAAGGCGTGTGTGCTTCCCAAATACTAGTAGTAAAGGCATGAGATCTCAAGTGCTGGGAATAAAGGCATGTGACTCCCAAGTACTGGGATTAAAGGTGTGTGCCACCACAGCCTGGCTCTGTTTCTCTCCTAGACTGAGTCAATCTCATGTAGTCCAGGGTGGCTTTGAATTCATAGAGATTCGGACAATCTCTGCCTCCCAAGTGCTAGGATTAAAGGTGTGTGCCACCACTGCCTGGCCTCTATGTTTAGTCTAGTAGCTGGCTCTGTCCTCTGATCCTCGGGCAAGCTTTATTTGACACACAATATATCACCACATAAAAGCTTTCTTTTTATAAGGGTTACCTTGGTCATAGTGTCTCTTCACAACAGTAGAACAGTAACTAAGACGCCTCCATTCTCTCTTGTGCCTCTACTATGCAGGAAATGTTTGTAAAGCAATAATTGCCCATATTCTAATGACTCCAGGTTATCTGGTAGCCAGTTTTCAAGCAACATTGCCAGAAAAGATCTGACATGTGTGATATTGTTTGGCTAAAGTAGTCCCTCCAATTGGTGTTGTAGAATGTCTCTCTATACCAAAAGTGCCCATTAAAATGCCCAATTCATCATTTCAGGGTTTTGAAGTCTGGTGAGGCAACACTGAACTCTTATGCATAATAACCATGTAGTGGGCTTGCTGATAAAACAGACACGATTTCTGTGATTGTTCCAATTAATTGTTCAAATCCCCAGGTATCTCTTTAAGCTGGAAGGCCAGTATACCTACTTAGGTCCTCTAAGCTGCCTACTCTCAGACTTATCAGTCCTCCCATATCTGCTCCTTTTCCTTTTTCCCAAAGCCAGATGGAGCCAGGAACAGACAGAGCTGGAGAACTGACAGGTCTGGCTATGGCTACTACTATAACCTTCATCACTACTTCCTTGTCTTGACATTGAACAACAGTTGCCAACAGCCATGCTCTAGAGAATGATCCACAGACAAGCATTCCACTCCATCCGACACCTGAGGACACTCTTCCTTCAGATGGCTCAGCCTTAGTTAGATGTTCAGTTACTCATACCAAGGCCCATGCATCTGCTGCCACAGTAAGAAGGCACAGCACCACATACTAAATATGATTACCCAAGTGAATGCTCCCGGAGGCTTCCAGAAACCAAGGCTTACCTGGCCCTAGCATCTACTCGGGTCCAGATATTCTGCACATTAGAAGAGGCCCAATAAATTTGTAATTAAACACAATACCTCCAGTGCATTGTCTGCACCTAAAGGCAACCTTGGCTACCCATTAGGGAAAGTTCCTTCCTCCACAGTAGTAAATATAAAATTAGGAATACCCATAGCTCCTTGGAAAACTGTTGGGCCCCAAGGCCAGTGCCAATTTGTTATGTTATTTTCGCTGAGGACTCATGAATAAATATGTATTCACCCAAGATAAGGCACCTATGACAGACCAGTGAAGTCTTTGGAGAATGCTTCCAATACAGCTCCAGCACAATGACCCCATGCTAGTCTCCAGGTAGTTTCCAGGTGACCAGCCAAGGAAATGACTCCACTGAAGTCTGGCTTGCTGAACCAGAGTTTTTTTGTTTGTTTGTTTGTTTTTGTTTTTGTTTTTTGAGACAGGGTTTCTCTGTGTAGCTTTGAGCCTTTCCTGGGACTCACTTGGTAGCCCAGGCTGGCCTCGAACTCACAGAGATCTGCCTGGCTCTGCCTCCCGAGTGCTGGGATTAAAGGCATGCGCCACCACCGCCCGGCTGAACCAGAGTTTTATAGGTTCAGTTTCAGGCATATAGATGTCAGTTCACAGACAGAGCTAGTCAATAAATGTCTGTTCAGCGAGCTAAGATATCTCAAGGTAATTCTGGATGTACAGCATTCCAAACCTTTCACAATCATTAAACTCCAATTGGTTGTCCTTGTAGAATTAATAATCTGTTGCATTTTCTTAGTTTGCCCACTCCTTTCTCTTTCCACCCCTCCCACAATCTCTCTCTCTCTCTCTCTCTCTCTCTCTCTCTCTCTCTCTCTCTCTCTCTCTCTCTCTCTGTATGTGTGCATTTATGTGGAAGTTCCAAGCTGATATTGGGTGCCTTCTCTCATTCCTCCCTCATTGAACCCAGAGCTCATCAATTCTGGCTAGTCTAGCTTGCTCAGGATGCCTCATGCCTCTGCCCCTCTAGTGCTGAGATTGTAAGTGGCTCCCACTCCTGCCCTGCTTTTGCATGGAGTTTAGGAATCTTAACTCCGGCAGTCATGCTTATGGGTATATACTTTATCCACAAGCCATCTCCTCAGGTGTAGGTTCTTTCTGGAAACATCAAT